CACTCCTGCTTCCAAGCTTGTTTTAATTGGGGAGCTCCACCAAACACTGTCCACCATAGCTTGACCTATCTGCCCTTGAGTTTCTTTATCTGTAAAATAGAGAGCATTGGAGGATATACATCCCAGACTGTGGGGAGAGTTCAAAGAGATAACCCAATACCAGTAGGTGCTCAATAAATGTGAGCTTCTGCTAGCCTTGTTTGTTCAATGATGTCTATGAGGCACTATCCAAGGCACTCAGAGTTTATGTCACCTGTCTTGACAGGACAATGTGGGCAGCTTGAGAGTTGAGGTTGCTGCTAGAATAAGTCCTCATATATCTTCTATGACCTAGAGGGCTGCCTACCGAGGGGTGGTACCACTTCTCATGCACTCACCCACCTGTCACCCAACTCTCCTTCCTGAAACCTGTTGGCCAAGTTTACCTCCTGAAATTAACCCTCTCTCTTAATTTCCTAGGACTGCCCTAACAAAATTATCTCACCCTTTTCGAGGCTGTAGGTCAAAATTCAGGGTGTTAGCAAGTCCAAGTTATTGCAAAGGCTCTGAAGAATTCTTTCTCTTCTTTCCTGGGTTCAGGTTGCCCCTAGCATTCCTGAACTTGTCAGCGTATGTGTCTCTGTGGTCACATGGCATTCATCTCCACGAGCAATGGTTGTATCTCTTCTCTTTTTAAGGACACCACTCAGATTGGATTAGGACTCATCGGACTCTAGTATGACTTCATGTTGGTGGTGGTTGTTGCTGCTGTTGTAAGGTGCTGTCAAGTTGTCTAGAACTTCTGTTAATTCTATAAACAGTGAATTTCAGCCTTTCCCTATCCTGTGACATCCTCATCAGATAGGCTTGAGCCCACTGTTACAGTCACTGTGTGTGGATGGTCTTCCTCTATTTTCTGACCCTCTCTACCTTTCCCCAAAAGATCTCATTTCCCAAGAACTGGCCCCTCCTGACGACACCCCCAAATTATGTGAGACCACGTTTCATCATACTTGCTTCTAAAGAGCACACTCGTTGCACTTCCTCCAGGACAGACTTGCTTGTTCTTTGTCAGTCCGTGTTCTAATCAACACTCTTTTCCAACATCCTAATTCCTATGTTAATAAGTTGCTGCAAATGATGGCTATAGCCGTCCTGCACATTTTAATTAATTAAAAAAGGAACCTCATTTGTACGAAGTGTACTAATGCATTTATTTGTTAATTACTCAGTACTACATAGAAAAAAAGATGTGTTTCTAAGCATGGTCATCAATTTAAAAGTGTGCAGCAACGTGTTAATGGAAGCATCTTAAAAGATCCCATTTCCAAACAGTTTCATGTTGACATGTACCAGGGGTTTGGACTTCAAAATAATGGTTTTGTAATTTTCACCAGCATGTTAAGTTCTACATTTTATTCTACACAGCAACTTCTAGACCTGGATGTGTCATACCACCACCAGCATATACAGCGAGATGTGGCTTATGCCTCTTGAACAAATCAGCCTGCAGGACAGGCAGTAGAGGGGGAGGGCTGGTTTGGTGACACCTTCTGAGCCTCTATGTTACCCTGGAGACAGTTAATCTTTAGCTCAGCTGAGCTCAGCTTCAACAGATGAGAGCTTTGGCCATTTGTTCTAACCGGATTGATCTTGAACAAGTTACTTTACACTTCTGAGGCTCAATTTCCTTCCCTGGGAAGTAGAAATGATAATAATACAGAATCAAAGAGCAGTTGTGAAGGTGAACTCTGACAGTGTATAAGCCAAATACATAAGAGCACAGTGGCTGACACACAGGGAGCACCCAGTGAAGCTCAGCTATCCTGAGTAGTGGAGAGAGGGGTGAGCGGGCCTTGTTCACCAGCATCAGCAGATGCTCATCTCCATCACCTAACCCACTGCACAGAAGCCAGCAAGCAGTTACATGGAATAATATAGTTAAACCAGTTCCAACTCATGGTGGCCCTCAACGTGCCAGAGTAGATTTGTGCCCCATGAAGTATTGGATAGGTGATTTTAAAAAATTAGATCCCCAGGCCTTTTGTCCTCCAACTTTTTGGCTAGAAGTTGAGCACACTAATCATTTGTACCACCCAGGGATTCCTGGCCTTCAATTAGCTGGTTAGAAGTATTCTACAGAGACTATTTTAAGTCAACTTAATCTTGGAGTTACATGTGTGCAAACTGGTGCTAATTACCTTCTAATTACTTCCCCTCTTGAGATTCAGGACTCTTAGGGGAATGGGACAAGGCAAGCAGGCACAGAGCACACGAGGGGATGCCTCAGCCTTTAGTTTCCAAATTATGTAAGCACAGTCCAATAGCCACAGAAAGCAGAAGGAGACATGGCCAGACTAAGGAAGTGGGAGGTAACAAGGTCAAGTGGTCTGATGTGGTCTAGACAGTGAATTGGATCAGAGGTACAGGCTGGAACAAAGCATGTCAGGTTAATAGGTACTATTATGTCACATCTTGAGCTACCTGTGCACCAGACAGGCCTCAGCAGCCTCTCTGGACAAATTACCTGCCACCTACTTCCATCCCCTCCCTTTCCACCCTCACCTGTCCACGACCCTATCCACCACCCCACATAGTCATTAAGAAAGCTGAAGGAGTGAACAGTAACAGCCAAGCTTTTGCATCTCTGGCTGGGCCTTGTTGTTGTTATGTGCTGCCGAGTCATTTGCGACTCATAGCGACCCTATGTACAACAGCCCTAAACCCTGCTCTATCCTGTGCCAATCACACTGCCTCTGACACACCCATCCCGATTACCCCAGTCACTGAATCAATCCATCTCATAGAGGGTCTTCCCCTCTTGAGCCGTCCCTCCACCCTACCAAGCATGATGTCCCTCTCCAAGGACCTGTCCCTTCTTGCAACATGTCCAAAGTATGTCAGACGAAGCCCCAGAATCCTTACCTCCAAGGAGTTGCTTGGTTTAATCCTCTCCAGGATGAATCTGTTTGTTTTCTTGGCAGTCCATGGTACTTTCAATACTCTTCTCCAGCACCACAGCTCAAAGGCATCATTTCTCCTTCTGTCCTCCCTAGTCATTGTCCAACTCTCTGATGCATAACAAGTAATTGCAAAGACCATGGCCTGTATCAGGCACACCTTAGTCTCCAGAGAGACACCATTGCTCTTAAGTACTTTAGAGAAGTCCCAAACAGCACTTTCCCATCGCAATGTTTTTTGATTTCCTGACTGCTGGTGCCAAGAGTGCTGACAGTGGAGCCGAGCAAACTGAGGCTGTGAACAATCTCAATCTCTTCGCCATCCATCCTGATGCTACCATTTGGTCCAGTGGTGAGAATCTTTGTCTTTTTGACATTGAGCCTCAGTCCATACTGAAGGCTGCTGTCCTTGAGCCTCTGCAGCAAGTGCATGAGGTCCTCCTCAGTTTCAGCAAGCAGGGTTGTGTCATCTGCATAACGCAGATTGTTCATAGATCTTCCACCAATCCTGACCCCACATTTCTCCTCATAGAACCCAACCTCCCGGATAATCTGCTCTGCATACAGGTTGAAAAGGTATGGAGACAGGACACATCCCTGGCGTACACCCTTCCCAATTTTGAACCATACAGTGTTACCCTGCTCTGTTCTGACAATTGCCTCTTGGTTCAAATATAGGTTTCGCATTAGCACGATTAAATGTTCTGGGATTCCCATTCTTCTCAGAGCCAGCCACAGTTTGTTATGATCCACACAGTCAAACGCCTTTGCATAATCAATGAAACACAGATATGCATTCTTCTGGAATTCCCTGCTTTCAGCTAAGATCCATCTAACATCAGCTACAATATCCCTAGTACCACGACCCCTTCTAAGCCCAGCCTGGACTTCTGGCAATTCTCTGCTGATGTGCTGTTCCAGTCGTTTTTGGATAATCTTCAGTAGAATCTTGCTTGCATGTGAAATCAATGCTATTGTTCTGTAGTTTCCACACTCAGTTGGGTCACCCTTCTTTGGAATGGGAACTCTTCCAGTCAGTTGGCCAAGTGGTTGTTCTCCAGATTTCTTGGCACAACTTGGTGAGCACATCCAGGGCAGCATCTGTTAGCTGAAATACTTCAATTGGTATACCATCTATTCCTGAGGCCTTATTTTTTTGCTATTTCCTTCAAAGCACCAAGTGGACATATAAAATTCAGCAAGAGGACAGGACCAGGAGACAGATTCACCCAGCTGATCTTAAGAAAACATTTTATTGTTAAGTACCCTTGGGTTGAGCCAATTCATAGGTGACCCTCTAGTGGATTTTCAGAGGCCATAAATTATATGGGAGGAGAATGCCCGTCTTTCTCTGGCAGAGCAGCTGATGGCTTCAAACTTTGAGGCTTTGGATTGGCTGAACAACTCCTTACCCATTAGGCATTTTAACATTGTTTTAAAAAGAAGTAAACTTCAAAGTGGGCTGAATGGTATGACCCTACTTGTGTAAAGGCAAAAGTACAGGCACCTGTTATCCCATGGCCAGCTATGCAGTGGATGGAGAGTGTTTCCGGAACATACCGGAAACGGAACTCTTGGATCACCTTTAGAATGTGGGAGTGGAGGATACAGGTGGTAGATGCCTTGTGCATTTTAATTTACATCTCTTTAGTATCATGATTCAAAACATATCTTGAGCATAAATGGTTTTCATACAATTTCTTTTTAACAAAGAAAACAGGGAAGAAGTGCCCCTGTCCACATGTCCTCCTTTTTCTAGATAAGACTTTTTCATCATCCCCCATCAACTCTATTCACAATGCGAATTCTTTTCTGCCTTTCCTCTCAGGAGATCAACCGGGTACCATGTTTTCCAGCACCCTCTGAATGTAGACCAAATAAATGCCAGGACTCTGAGAAAGAGTCCACCCTCCACAAAATTCCAAAGCAAATATCCTGAGGGCAGCCAGGACTAGAGCTATCAACCACTGCACCTTCTGTGACTCCTCAATAAATTAAAAAAACCCACCTCTTGAGATTCCCTGGTTAACTGAGGCTGTGTCCCACGTTGTCTTCCTGCAGATCACGAAGGCATCAAGGAGGAGGCTTACCGTGAGCCTGGCGTACTCAGAGAGCCACCAGATCCGAGTGTCCCAGCAGGACTTCCGGCTCTTCCGCACGCTCTTCCTGCTCATGGTCTCCTTCTTCATCATGTGGAGCCCCATCATCATCACCATCCTCCTCATCTTGATCCAGAACTTCAAGCAAGACCTGGTCATCTGGCCATCTATCTTCTTCTGGGTGGTGGCCTTCACATTTGCCAATTCAGCCCTGAACCCCATTCTCTACAATATGTCGCTGTTTAGAAATGAATGGAGGAAGATTATTTGCTGCTGCTTCTTCTTTCCTGAAAAGGGAGCCATTCTTACAGATACGTCTGTAAAAAGAAATGATTTGTCCATTATTTCCAGCTAATTAATTTTTTTTGCTATAGGCCATGTTTCTCACTACAAGACAAAAAGGCAAACCATAGTATGTTTCCAAAGGGAATTAATTTTCCCTTTAATTTTAAAAGGACCATCAAAGAGTGTACTCAGCTTAAAGAAACTGCCACTCATGCAAATACACAGCAACAGCATGATAAGTTAAGGGGATGGCTATTCAACATTATTATTCCTTTCTGGAAGGATAAGCTCTGGTTTCCTTTTAAATGTGGACTCTTTCCAGTGTGTTTATATATTAACCTTAGAAACCATTTTATTTATAACTGTTTGATAGCTACATGTCCCATGCATAAAGCTTTCCTGCCTTCTAAAAGGAGGAATTTTTTACAATAGTGATTTTAACAAAAATTTACAAGAAAGCTCTATTTTCATTCATTCATTGTTGCACATTTTCCTCCCTCCTCCCTGCCTCCTTCACTTAAAAACAAATTAATTCATTGTTGCATAATTTCCTCCCTCCCTCTAAAATGAAGATTTTTTTTTAAATGAAGATTTTTAACTGACTGAACTAGGTTCCAAATGATTTATTTGAAGGGTCACATAATTGTTAATACATGCCATTGAATCAGAATCGATTCATTGCTGACTTTCTAGAAAGTTTTCAGAGGCTGTAAATCACACAAGAGGAGATTGCCCATCTTTCTACCTCAGAGCAGCTGGTGGATTTGAACTGCTTGCCTCTGCATTAGCAGCACAGCTCCTTATCCACTAGGCCACCAGAGCTCCAAGGCCACTCTAGACCCCCTCCCTGAACTTGTAAAGCCTCAAGATTATTAATGAATGTTAAGAGTGTTTGAAGATTTTTCAAAGGAAAAGTGAAAGGTAATTATGTTTTCTTTTTCAATTATAAAAATGTGCCATGGACTCCTATAGAAGAAGGAGGTTTATGAAATCAGAGAAGATTGGATCCTCCTAAAAGCCTGTGAGAGTGAGCGAATTCCTTCATTAATTCATCTACCAGATGCTTAGGAGACCCCCGTTGTGATCAGACACGACTTGTAGAGTTGGAAATACAATGATGGACTGGACAGTCACAGCCCTTTGTCCTCTCGGAGCTTACAATCTAGTTGGAGGCAGCCTCCCTGATACAAGTCAGTAAGTAATGCAACTTCTCTATTTAATAAACTCCATGAAGAATATGGAGGAGAATGCTGTGGTTGATGGCAATTCTGATCAAGGGAGGGAGTTTGAATGACCTTTCTGAGGAGTGACATTGGATCTGAAGTGACCTTGAACAAGACAGATCTACCAGTGTAAATCTGGAGAAGGGCCGTTGCTGGCAGAGGAAACTGGCGGAAGAGGTCTGCGCAGCCAATAGCAAAGCGAACTATTGACTGAGCCCACACTCCATAGTTCTGGGTTTCTGCACACACAGGAAGGAGTCCCTTGAGTGTCAACCTGGGGTGTCCAGTGCTGGCACCGCTCCCACAGCCTCACTGAATTCTCCCTGCAACCTCACGCTGCCTCCTCATATCTCAGAAGACAAGAGTGAGGCTGAGAGAATCCAGGCAACCACTCCAAATCCCACAGCTAATATGGAGCCAATATATATGTGTGCTGGAGAGATTTTATTTATTACTTTTAAACTAATGTTTTATTGTGTTTCTTTTTAGTGAAAGTTTACACAGCAGATTAGACTCCCATTTAACAATCTCTACACAAATTGTCAGTGACATCAGCTACATTTTTCATACTGTGTCAACACTCATTATTTCCGTTCTGGTTGTTTTGTTTGGATATGTTTATTTGACTTGGACCCAAGACTTTCTAATGCCAAAGCCTTGCTTCCTTCTCAGGATGAGAAACTGAGGCTTCTGGGAACTTCTGAGAAAGTGAGGCAAGTAACTTTGTATGTGGTTATATACTAGTGTTTGTATATAAGGGAAAAATCCAACCCCGAGGGTGTTAAATAAATTCTGACTCATGACCTTATGTGTCACAGACGTGGTGTCTTCTTGGCTATATATAACATTTGTGAAAGCAGATTGCTTGACCTTTCTTTCACAGCACCACTGAGGGCTGGTTCAAATTGCCAGCTTTCAGATTTGTAAGACCTTCTATCTTGAGTTCACTCCGACTTGTGGAGACCGTCCTGTGGGTCTGCAAAGCTCCACCTTTCTTCCAAGGAGAGGCTGGCAGTTCAAACCACTAACCTTCTGGTTAGTAGACCAACACATAGCACACTATGCCCCAAGGGTTTGTAAACCATTTATACTACTTATAGACCTATTAATGTTCACAGGTGCTGCAAATCGTGTGTGAGATGGTATCCAGCCCCACCTGGGCTATTTCTATCCTTACTCAAGCTCTTCCCTGCATGCTTCAGGGAGAGAGGGGACTCTCACCTTTCCTTCAGAAATAGCTTTCAGGGATCCAGCTTTGATTTCCCCCAGGGAGCTGGAAGCCCCTCCACCATCACCATTCACCAAAAATATAAAGGTGTGAATTAAGTGCCAGAGACTATGAGGGCTGGGGGTGAGTGCTGGAGTGGATATTCCCGAGACTCTGCCCTGAACCCCGTGTGTCAGTTTCCACCTTTCTTTCTATAAACCCAGTTGCCTGAGCTCACTGAGGCTCAGGCCTCTGGCCCACTGGGCTGGCTTGTATCCACTTCCTTTTTGGCCTCAGTACCTTGGCCAGGCTAGTGGTTAAGGCCTTCCTGAATTAATGGGGAAAATCCTTTTTCAGGAAGTTGGGGAAGCCACAGTCATTAATAAAGGGGATTAGATACCAGAACAGGTCCTGACAGCTGAGAGGAAAGGACGTCCTTCTTGGGTATATATCCCTGTTTGGTCGTCTGAAGGAACCTCTTCCCTCAACAAAGAATACGCAAATAAAACTCAAGTCATAGGAAATGTGTGACTCCATTTTAATAAATCAAAGTCTGGAATCCAAGGCCTCACATCATTCCTCAAAAAAAACAAAAACAAAAACAAAACAAAAACAAACAAAACCCCAACAAACCTCCATTCAAAAGAGATATGCATTTAACTGCAAACAGATTCACTCCTCTACACATCTAGTCTCATGTATCCCGAAGGTTGTATGTTGACTGAGGGAAGGTGAGTGAGGAGAGCGAGGGCCAACTAAGCTTCTAAGATAAATACAGTTGACGATGGCATGAGAGCGGGCCAGACGTTTTCAACTGGAACGCTGTATCCATGATGTGGCTACAAAATGTATCTCTCTGCGTTTTTATCACAGTAACCTGAAATACAGGAGAGGAAAGCTGTTAGGAGCTGGACCACAGGCTCAGGGTTTAATGTCACTGTTTTGTTTATGGTCGAGTCAGAACTAACCCATAGCTGATCCTCCAGCAGGTTTTCAAGAGACAGTTATTCACATGGAAGATTGCCCATCTGTTCCCCAACCCCCTGAGAAACCGGTGGATTTGAATCATGTGCCGTGGAATTGCAGAATAGCTTCTCGTCACCAGGCCACCCGCGCTCCATTACTATGTAGGTAACGAGTATCATGATGCCCTCACACGCCACGGGTCTCAGGGTAAACAGCGCTCACCAGCTGGTGGGGCACGCCTGCACCCACTCACCGTTGTGAACGATCATCCTGTACTGTCTGCTCAGACACAGCTCCTCCTGCCGCTGCCTCACGATTCTCTGTATATCTTGGGGCAGCCCGTAGGGGTTCCGGGCAAACACGAAGGAGTAGCTGTCAGCACAGGTGCCATCGAGGTTCAGCAGGCGGCAGGAGTACTGCACAGCGTACGTGTCGTAGTCTGTGTCGATGATCCAGTGGTCATCATCTGCAAGCCAGGGAGTCACAGTGTTCAAGAAGGCTCTGATGGCCCGGGGAACTTGCTACCAGGCATGAGGAACCCCCTGAAACTGGTTTCATTTCACTGAAAGCTTGGAGCTACAGAGAATTTGGACAGCTTTTGCAAAACTGGGAAAATGAAAGAGGATAGCTTTCAGGATTTCCTTTATTGAAAGGAAAGGTCTCATTCACGTTGTCAATGATTCTCTTTCACTATAGTGATAATGAGATCACATCTTTCCACAGAATCAAGAGAATATGGATCCATTAAAACGGCAGTGTGTGTCTTTCTCCGGCCATCTTGGCCATCTATCATCCAGGAGTATCTATGTATTTCACAGGTAGGGTCTGAGGGCCACCAACTTACTACTCATCTTCAGGACCTATTGTTAGCAATGATCTGGATCAGTTAGTGGCCACCTCTCACTCATCCTCAGAGACAACACTCACCCTGCTTCTCAACCCACTGGAGGTCACACTCAGATGCTCTGCTCACTCCATCCAAATGCCCACCCATTACTCCACTCACTTCTCTGTGCTGGCAAAAGTAGTCATTTTTGCTTTGGAATATCATGTGATATTCCAGCCTTCAATATTCCATCCTTCAGATATTGTGTCCTCAAGCTTGTACTCCTCACCCCTCTCCTGAACTCTTGGATAGTTTCGATTCTATTTATTCTCCAAGGGTGAGCCATAAGCCATGAGGAACAAGTATAAGTGAAGGCAATAAAAGCGAGTGACAGAGGCCAGATGGAAAAGAATATTAATAAGAATGTCTGCGAGAGATTTATCAGAGAGAAACAATAATGCGATGGTTTATCCAAATGTCCCACTTTGGGTTAAAATACCACCTTTCTATTTAATCCAACATTCCTTATGGAATGTAACCATGCCTAAGACTTTCTGAGCACCTACTTATGCACCAAAGAACCCTGATGGTATAGTAGCATGTTATATGCTGGATTGCTTACAGAAAGGTCAGGGATTTGAATCCATCAGCTGTTCCATAGGGGAAAGACTGGCTGTCTTTTCCTATAAATATCTGCAGCCTTGGAAATCTGATGGAGGGTCATGATGAGTCAGAATTAAGTCACCAAACAGCACTGGGTATGGATTTTTTTTTCTTCAATATTTTCCAGTCACTGTGTAGATACTTGTCCTATTTTCTCATTTATTTCTCACATCAAATGTGCTCAC